CGGTCCTTGCACGACCTCCTACTCTCTAGCTCCCTTGTCTCCTCCTCCCATGCTCATCTCCAGGACTTCTCTAGAGCTTCCCCCATCCTATGGAACTCTCTCTACCCCAATTTATCAGACTATTGCCTACTCTGCTCACTTTTAGGCGATCTCTGAAAACCTATCTCTTCAGGGAAGCCTATCCTGCCCTCAGCTAATAATGGAATCTTCTACTCTTCGTACCAGTCCATCCCCCACAGTTACTACCTTTTCTACCACTAGCCCCTCCCTCCTAGATTGTAAGCTCCAAGGAGCAGGGCCCTCCTAACCCTCTTGTATTGAACTGTATTGTTGCTGCATTGTCTCCCGTAATATTGTAAAGCGCTGAGCAAACTGTTGGCGCTCTATATAAATCCTGTATAATAATAATAATAATATAATAATAATAATAAAGTCCCAACAAGTGAAAAAAAAATTATTAAAGCACAAAAAAATATATAATATAAAAATCCAGATTTTTCAATTCTTCAACTTTTATATTCCCACTTTTTGTTGCGTGCTCATATTTATGGTGTCAATTATATCCATCACCTTCTAGTGTGTGCGCTCACCTCAAAAATTCGACCCTCAAGGAGTCAAAGAGCAATCAATATCCACAGATGATCCCTGGTTGGATGGATCTCTCCCTTTAAGTGGACACATGAACAGCTCCCACCGAAATCATATAAACGATCAAACACATCTTTAACCACTTGCCTACCAGGCACTTATACCCCTTCCTTACCAGGCCAATTTTCAGCTTTCAGCGCTGCCGCACTTTGATTGACAATTGCACGGTCATGCAACATTGTACCCATATGAAATTTTGATCATTTTTTTCTCACAAATAGAGCTTTCTTTTGGTGGTATTTAATCGCCACTGGGGCTTTACTTTTTGCGCTATAAATTAAAAAATGTGCAAAAAATTTGAAAAAAAAAAAAAGTTTATTTGTTTCTTTTATAAAATTTTTCAAACAGGTATTTTTTCTCCTTCACTGATTTGCGTTGATGAGGCGGCACTGATGGGCACTGATAGGCGGCACTGATGGGCACTGATAGGCAGCACTAAAGGGCACTGATAGGCAGTACTAATGAGGTGGCACGGATAGGCGGCACTGATAGACAGCACTAATTAGGGGTCACGGATAGGCGGCACTGATATGCAGCACTGATAGGCAGCACTGATAGGTGACACTGATGATGGGTACTGATAGACGGCACTGACTGGCATCACTTCTGGGCACTGACTGGCGGCACTGACTGGCACAACCCCTGGGCACTGACTGGTGGCACTGACTGGCAGCACTGGTGGGTGGCACTGGTGGGCAGCACTGGTGGGTGGGCACAGGTGGGTGGCACTGGTGGGCACAGGTGGGTGGGCACAGGTGGGTGGCACTGCTGGGCACATGTAGGTGGCACTTCTGGGCACAGGTAGGTGGCACTGCAGAGTGGCACAGGTGGGGGCACTGCTGGGCACAGGTGGGGGCACTGCTTGGAACGGGTGGGCGGGGCTAGTGGGCGCACTGCTGGGCGGAACTTGCGGGTGTCACTGCTGGGCACCGATCATCAGGGCACTGATCATCAGCGCCCTGATGATCGGTGCCGATCCCCGCTCTGACAACTGCCGGTTCTCGGCAGTACTTTCCTCACGATCTGACAGCGTGAGGAAAGTGCAGCCGAGAACCGGCACTTGCATTTCCCTGTGATCAGCGTGTCATTGGACACCGCTGATCACGTGGTAAAAGGCCGGTGGGATCGGCCTTTCACCACATCACGTGATCAGCTGTGTCCGTAGGACACAGCGATCACGGAGATCGCCGGGTGCGCGCCCCCTGGGGCGCGCAGGAGAGCGCGTTCTGGGAGGACGTCATATGACGTCCACTCAGAACTGGCCGGCCGCGGTGAAGCCGTCATTCGGCTATGCGCGGTCGGCAAGAGGTTAAGGGGTCTTCAAATGGCTCAAAAAGAAGTCAAAGATAGAACTTCCATAGTGTTAGATATTTATTTAAAAACTTCAAAAACAGCCAAATGGCTACTCACATAAAAACAAGGGTCACAGACCCAGCAGGCATGTACTGTGTAACCCACAGTCAGGTATACATGCAAGGAGTCCCAAGATGGCGCTTACCGTCCAAACGTAATGACATCACCACGCTCTATTCCTACTAGTTACATCACGCTAACACATGACTTCTTCAGGGCTATCTTGGTAGAGGCAGAACTTGCTTCTTCATTTTAGAGCTGTGCCTATGGTGACTGGTGATCTGACTGGTGGTGATGCTAGATCTACAGGATGGAAAATCCAACTAAATAGCGCTTGTACACACAAAAAAAATTCAAAAAGAAAAAAGCAGCTTGCACAATATTAGATAGGTCATATACTGTATATAAAGAATACATATAGAAACAAGTGCCGTGCTATTCCAAATACATTCATATACAAATAATTTACAAGTGTAAAAATGATAGTGAATATTTGTGC